TCCGCAACAGATCAGGGGAGCCAACCTTCTTTTTTTTCACTATTTTCACTTCTTTCATTAGTTTCATTAGTTTCATTAGTTTCATTAGTTTCAATTCCTGCATTTCCTGCATTAGTTCGTTCCATCTTGCTTAACTGAACACAGCCTTGGAAAGTTCCGAAAACATTACGGTGCAGACGATATATCGTTCTCTCACTCTGTCAGAGGAATCGTGTGTTTTGCGCATGCACTGAATCGAGGGAGTGGGGGTCAGTCATTCTACCTCAGAATCTAGCGCATGCGCAGAACGGTCAATACATCTATCATCTGTCTCACTTCATCGGCGGACAAACCGCTCATGGGAAGTTTACGAAGCAAGCAATATAGGAGTATTACATATATGTGTTCAACACCAGCTCTCTCTCTCAACGTTGAAGACATTTTCTTAACGTGGCAAAGATAGGAAATGCGCAGTCTATACATTCTACGTCTATGGTAGCCACAATCAAGAGAATGTCAGAGTGCAACCATGTTCAGTTCACATGTTTTCGCTCACGAGCGCCGCGATGTCCACGTTTCGTACACACGAATCAAAGCATGAAATAAGCGAAAGTAAATTGTAATTTGCACAGTATTAATATTTCTAATATTGTAGTATTAGATATATTTTACTCTTTCTTTTAGCTTTTTAACAAGTATTTTAAGTGCTTTTAGATATAAAATTATATTATCGATTTGCTAGATTACATTTAGTTTCTTAACGCTATTTACAGAATAATTAGTGACTTAAAATATAACATGGAAATTTTTAATACATTATGCAATATAAAAAGTTGTTCATCTTTTTCTCTTAATCATATTCTCTCTCTCTTCTTCATATTCTTCATATTCTTCATATTCTTCATAATGTTCATATTCTTCTTCATATTCTCTTTGATATTGTTCTTTATATTGTTCTTTATATTGTTCATATTGTTCTTTATGTTCTTTTTTATATTCTTCTTTTTCTTCTTTTTCCTTCTCTTCTTCCTCTTCGTCTTTTTCTTCTTCTTTTTCCTCAGTTTCTTCTAAAATTTCTTCTGTAAATAATAAAATTCGAATTTTAAGAAATGTAACAAAATAAATGTATATTCTTCAATTCGTTCTAAAAGCACGTACTCGTTGGTAATGAACGCGTCATTTGATATGCTTTTTCTTCTTCAACTGTAGGATCATTGATTTCCATGACTTCCGGCCCGATTGAATACTGATCTTGGACGGGTGGCATTTGGGAAGGATTGTAATTGTACGCGTAGTGTTTGTGTCCCCAGCCGATGTATACATTGGCAAAACGTCTGCGTGCAACACCATTGAAATTATATTAGCGCAATTCCGCGCACATTAATTCTCTTGTAATGTGACTGCAGATCAGCATAATTTCCTCTATTACGTTTGCACGGACCGCAAATGCTCGCGATAGAATAAGATTATTGAATGTGGTAAGTTACGCATGTATACGCGATAGAATAGGGTTATTGAATGCGATGAACTTACGCATGTATTATACGATCTAAAGCGCATATAAACTGTATCCAATTTTACGCTATATTTTCCCGCGACAATTTATGTCAATGCAAAAATTATCTTTTGTGGCATAAACATAATTGTTTTTTGTTAAAAAAAAAGTGTGTTACACATACCGTTATTTCAAATGTATGTATCTGTTAAAAACAAAACGTAAAACATATCGAAATTTACAGCAAAATTTAAATTTTATTGCGCAATATCGAGCGTACTTTCCAGCGGCGAACGCAAAAGCTCCGGGCCAGATGTTAGATTTGACAAAAGCTACTGCAGTATCTGATTGTACATAAGACGATTGTCTGACAGTCCACGGTATCACAAAGTCTATAATACCGTCTTTGGACAAAGAAGTCAAGAGAGGCGGTCCTCTTTCTCCAATAATCTCTTTCTTCACCTTCTTGACTTCTTCTTCTTCTTCTTCTTCTTCTTCTTCTTCTACCTCTCTTCCAACTTCTGCCTGCGTAATTAAAGCTTTCTGTCAGGCAACTTGAAGAAGTGCCTTCGCGCGTAATTGCGTGTGAAAGACAATTTTACAGTTGTGACTAAAATATTCAATCAACGTCTACAATTACCTTCTTTACTTCTTCGGGATTCCACCAAATAGTTCTTCCCTGTTCCAGAATATAAGGGCTGTGATGACACCAATTTGACATAGACGGATCTACGAGATCTTTGATCGGTAGTGGAGTGTAATAAACATTTTCTGACAGCTCTCCTCGCGCTGTCTGATAGACAACTGGTGTGTAAATAACAAAAAAAAAAAAAAAAAAAACAATTTTGAATTCTGTATAATTGTCATAACAATGCAGAATTTTTATTGTTAATTAGAAACCTAAACTCTAAGGGACTAATTATAAGTTTGTTGTGATCTCGTTTACTTTCTTTTCTTTCTTCTTCCATCACTTCCTCTAGTTTCTCGACTTCCCCGTCGAGTGTGAAGAAGCCGATCGGAGAAACATGAGTAGTCGCGCTGATCCTGGCAATTTGTGCGCGAAGGTAATTTTTCTCGGTGCCGGGAAACGGCGGAAAACTGTGTATCTACTTCGCAGAAGTGAAAACAACAACATAACAACGTCGAGAAAATGAAACAATGATTAAGCTGAGTTTTAAGTTCGAAACTCGGCTCGGCTTGCCCGATGATTTACGCCAAGTTTAACCTACTTCGCTAATTCGTCTGATTGTCGAGAGACGATTATTCTTACGTGTAATTAACGTGCTATACATTTTTCGTGAGCGCGCATGAATTTTTACTTCCCTTCTTCGCGTTCGCCTGTTACATTACGTTCCCGCGAAAAATATTCCGACATTGTCACGCGTGCCGTTCAGATATTGCGAGTAACAAGGCTGTATGTGGGTTAGCGTTATAGATGCGTTATGCGAACGTGTTCGCAAAATAACGTGTGCGCTCTAACCTGGGGCTCCTTCATTAAAAGGCATCACGTACCGGTGTCTCCAAGTTTCCCGTGCAGTATCGGACAATCTGTCGTGCAATTACTATCTGCTGCGGCGTAACCGCCGGAAGTTCGATCCACTCGTCCAACCCGGGCGCGTTGCATACAAAATACACCTAAATACCGTCACCGTGAGCTTGAGAGCAAAGGGATTGCCCGAAAAATGCGCGACGTGACGCGGCTCGAATATTAATTCGTTACGGCCGCGTCTCCATTGAGACGTCGAGTGTGATAGACCGGTAATTGAGTGCCTTCGCGCACCTTTTTATTCAGACCGCTCCCGATTCTCTCGGCCGGCACTTCCGCCGGCGGCCTCCACGGATTAACAGGCAACGGCGGAAAGACAAGCTCCAAAGGCTTTTCTCCTCGTGCGGGGTCCTCGCGCGGGGTTTCCGTAGCCCCGACGGTTCTCTTCACGGCTTCCCTCTCGGTTTTTGCATCGTTCTTCTCTCTCTCGACTCGAACTTTTTGTATATCAGCTTCTTCTCGCTATATGTTTTTATACAATACAATATTATTCAAAGATCTTTTTCGAACTTCTGCTTATTCATCGTGTCGATTTTATGCGCAATTACGGAATTAAACTACCGCGCGATGTATTTTTTTGTAATTCGTATTTTATCACGCGTTTTAAAATTTCACCTCTAATCTTCGAGCGAGCTCGTTCGGCTGAAGTTCGGCCTCCACCACGTAATAATTTTTGGGATTTCCAAGTATTTTACCCCAAAATCTGTGAGATACGAGTTAAATGCGGATAGAGATACGTGTCAAACACACACGTACACCTAGGTGTGTGCACAGCGTGAGATACTCAAATTGAATACCTAATGTTTTCAAGCGGTATTGCGGAGGCGAGCTTTCGAATCGATAAATTAAGCAACACCATCTCGTGTCGCGGCAATCCAATACCCGTCCGTTCGAAGTAGAACAAAAGATCCAACATGTCGGGGCACCTCTTTTTCCTATCGACCTCCTCCTCGTCCACCATTCTCTCCTGCTCGCCTTCGTCAATCTGCTTTACGCTCTGTCGTGATTGCAAGAAGATTGAAAGGCAAGGTAAAACGAGGAGAGGAAGAGAGACAGAGAGAATGAGAAAGAGAGAGATTACAGCCTGCCTCGTTTGCGCCATTTGCATGTTATTTATCCGAAGGAAACTCGGTGTGTGTATCATGAGTTTCATTATCTGTTACTTGTCAGACCGCACCTGGAAGAGCTTAATGAGCTTCTTGGCATCCTCGTATTGTACGGGTGGTACGTACTGATCCCGGAGATGATCCGTCTTACTCTTAAACCTCTCTTCTTTCAGCTTTCTGCTGTACTCCTCAAAATTATCGACAGCGTTTCGCGGTCGTTCGGCCAGAATTTTTGCTAAAAGCTCGGTCAAGTGATCGTATCTAAACAAAGACGTGGATATCTATTGAAAAAGCTCAAAATAGAATAAATTAATCATTTGCGTGCTTCTGCATTTGATTTGACATTGCTTGTTGTTTTTTCTTTTTTTTGCTTGGACATTTTTCAACGTTCTTTTACGCTTCTAAAAAAATTTCTTTTCAAAATTTACGCCGCGAGACGCGATAGCTTTTGCGGCAGTCACGTTAAATTGAGCGAGAAAGATATGCACGATATTAAACATAAATGAACGTACATATGCAAAACTGTAGATCAAAGAGAATACAATTGCACGGCTGTTATTGTAAGAACATTCGCGCTTACAAGCTGTCACCCGATTCCGAGCTGTGCTCCTGGAGAAATTTCTTCGCGCGTCGGACGTCGTGTTCCACGCTGGGAACATCATCGGGGAGTGCCTCTTCCACGTTATAAGAATACGCCATATTCTTATTATTTTTCGCGTCTCGTCATACAGAAGCCAGTTCGCGAAATATTGCACGCGACGTCACATCGCCGGATATTCAGTAATGTTATCGCAGTAACGTAACCGCTACGCAAGTTGTCATCGTTTGGTAACTTATATCAGTGCCAACTTTTTTTTTTTAATCGACGCTCTTCATCCGTTTCTGCCGTTCGTCGCCATCCTGTGTCGCGTTTAAATCAGCGCCCGCGATATTGCAGCAGTTACAGAAATACAAAATCTTATCTGCTGACCCGATTGTGTTTTAACATATATCCCCCTCATCCCACTCTAATCAGCTTTGTTAATAGCAGTTAGAGAGAAAGAAGAAGAAGATAAATACCACCTACGCATTTCTATCGAATCAGAACCCCCATTTCCGAGCGATAATACAAATAACATTTAATTAGAGTGAGCAAAAATCAGAAATAGAAAATCGCGAGATACCACAGCGCGCGTTATATAAATATAAAAATGTAAGAAATACATTTTTTTTAAATAGTAGCATGTATATAATTTTTTAATACGCGAGTTTAATACGCGTTTACAATATATGCTTATTAACTTTAGTTGCATTATTTAAATCAGGTGTTGCTGTGTATTTAAAAAAAAGAAAACATATTATATCGTATGTAATTTTTTCATGTTTAATTCACACGATGTCTTGCGTGAATTAAACGTGAAGAGAAAAATATGAATGAACTCTCTCTTAAATGTAAAAGTGATTTAGTAAAGATGAATCGCGCGAGCACGCCTTCTATCTGCTTGCATCCTGGAGCGTAGTTATCGGGTGTCCTAAATATGACGAACGCTTCTCGAGGTCACTGGCTATTTCCTTTGACGCCCACCCTCTTTCTATACGCGTAGGACACGTGTTCTGTCTTCAAAAAAAACCCTCGTGGTAATAAATGTCTGAGGTGTTCCGATCAAAAAGCTTTCGAAAATTTATTAAGTCTTCGAAAATAGACACAAACGAGATGAAGAGGATATTTTTGCTCCTGTGCATCTTTTTACTTGAGAACTATAAGAGAGAGAATATATATATATATGTTGTATAATTTCTATTTCTTTCAAAACAGACAAATACAGTAAATGCGTTTTGTTTATAATTTTGACCTTGTCTGTCTGTTGTACAAACTAATAACAATTAGTGTCATTTATTTCGTATTGTTCTGTGTTTGATCCGAATTTACCGTGAAGTCACTGCTTGTCACTCTACTGCGTGTCTTCTAGACTTCTCGTGTAATTTTGTATACATCACGCTTGCGTGACCAGTATAGACTATTATGCAAATCGCGTCTCTGTAATGTCGATACCTATTTGTTGATGCGGTCGAGTCAAACTAAACGGATCGCCTGTAAATATAGAATTGTTATTTAAAAATTCTAAACAATCGTCAGGAAGGAAATATAAAGACACGCGTAATAAATGAGACAATGTTTTTTTTTTCTATAATTTCAATTTCTCATCGATAATCTCTATCGATTCTATGAGTTCTATAACACCGCCGGTTTTAATATGTTCGTTGAAATTTTCTATATCGGCACAAATCGAACGCACACAGCCACTATCGCGCTACGTTAATTACAATTCGTTGCCATCAACAAGATAGAATTATTACTGTGCCATATTCGTGGCCGAGGTATTCGGCCGAGCACGTGGCAAGCTACAAACACACTTGGATCGCAAACACACCGGGATTTCGTAATTTCAGGAGTTATAACAGGTGGTGCCTGGCGCACGTACCAATCACACACGTACCACGCCGCCGGCGTGGCGTCCAAACAGGCCGGTTTTCGGGGAGAGAGAGAGCGAGAGAGAGAGAAAGAGAGAGAGAGAGAGAAAGACCATACCCAGCTGCGCGTCACACTCGGTATTCCGCTCGGCACTCCAGTTGCTGCATAATACCGTGTAATTAACAAAATGGTATGCCGATTAATAAAACTGGCGAGAGGCGCTCGCCCGATCAACGCCGGATCGGGCTTGGCATGTATCGGACGGACGGTGGATTCGGAGCAGAACGGATTACCTGATTCGCCGAAATTCAATAGCCGCGCGGCCGTTTGACGCGCGCATTGTTCGCGCGACGGCCAGATGCGTTAATTAACAAAAGGCCTTTAATGTATGAGCGTCTATCGCAGACGCGATTTTCGGCCGATAACGATGATAAACGAGTCCGGATAATACGACGATCGCTTGCTCGGGTAGCAGAATAGCGTAATAGTTCGATATGTACCGCGCGCGGTACACTTTTCCTCTTTGATTTCATTTCCCGGCAGCAGTTGCGCACTGTCAGCGTGTTAGTCGAGCAAACGTTGTTTTAAAGCGAATCTATTAATTAAGCGAATATAACATGTGTGTTAACAGCTTGAACGTTTTTTAAAATGACAGTAGTAATTAAGCAAATATACACGTGTATTAATTTTTAACCGAGAGCGAAATTTTCCTATCACTCTACTGCGGAATTTGTTTTACATATGTACGTACTTATTACCGATACTTTAATTAAAAATGATACCGATCGCAAACGAATTCTACATAAAGATTCTCACACGGTTATTATTTAAATTATTTTAAACTTTTAATATTAAATTAAATAACTCCGAGTCACATGTATATGAGATAAGTTATTATTAACTCTTGGAAATCAAATTTTTATATCTGCTTCTAACTTAACAATATTAACGCTGCAACATGTTTATTAACAGCAACTTTATTATTCAAAAAAAAAAACATTTCATGAAAAGAAAGATCTTCCATTAAAGGTAATCTAACTATCGGAAATATTATCCAACTATCGGGAAATATTTTCTCTAGAAATCTTTTAATGTCCTCCTGATTAACCAAGGAAAGGAGAGGAACGTGCCGTAGTTTATTAAGGAAACGAGTCTGAAGACACTTTTTTTTCTAACAAAAGTAAGATCTCCGGGATTTTTTTTCGCACTTACGCTTCATTGGCGATACGTTTGAAAGAGAGCGAAAAAACGATAAATTCGTTAATCAGACGGCATTGGACGCATTTCGAATGTGGACGAGCAGCGCCGGAGTTGGTGCCCGTAATTTGCGGGGGCGTTGGAGTATGAATGAGTAAGAAAGTTCTCCCCACTCTCTCGTCTCTCCTGCCAAGCCATCTCGTTCTCTCGTTCGGCCACCCCGTCTCTCACCAGCCCTACTCGTCCCCCTTCTCTCTTTTTCTCCCGTTTCTAGTTTCTTCCTCTCTTCCACTCTCTCTCTCTCTCTCTCTTCTTCTCTTTCCATCGCTTCTCTTCAGCCTCCTCTTCCTTGCACCCACACCGCACCGAAAGCAGCTCGTATCGGGGGTCGGTTCTCTCTCCCAGTTCCGCGCTTCTTTCGGTCAGTTTTCTCCCGTGAGTTGCACGCGCGCGTCCCTTCGTGAAGACCGGCTTCCGTGTCGTATACTCTTCGAATTCGACAGCCGCGAGAAACAGGACCAGTAGTGCCGGGATAAAAAAATAAAAAAAAAACGACCTCTCTCCATATCCTGGATTCCCGCGGGACGGGAGAGCCGCACTGTTCATCATGCACCATCGACTGTCAAGGTATTTTTTGGCACAACAGTGAAATTTTTGTTTTCACTGAATTAATACATTAGTTATTTATTGTTTTTATCGACATGTTTCTGAACACGCGCGCGCAATGGTTTTTTTGTCCATTCATTATGGAGTTGACAACAGAATAGATTTCGTATAAAACAGAAGCAATTGTATATTGTGAGCCTACTTTTTTTTTGCAGAGATAGTAAAACCTTGTATTACAAGTGTCTTTTAGATTCTTAATAGAAGCACGTTATCTCTGCGAAAAGTTCATGCATTGCCGAATAAGCGACAAAGGACAGTGTCGTAACTTACAGGAAAAAGTATCGCGGTGTCGAAAAGATGAATCTCCGGTGAATAATACGCGCGACTCAAAGTCTTTTCACTCAAGAGACGGAGAGAATTGCTCTCGCTCTCTTTCTCTCTCTCTCTCTCTCTCTCTCTCTCTCTCTCTCTCGGACAGGTACTCTCGCAGTTATTAAAACGATTTAGTACGAAGTGCGCGAGTTTACGTCTACTGGATCTTATTATTAAAAGTTCCACTTCTCCCTCGTCTTGAAATCGTCCGAACTCCGGTAATGTCATCCTATCTTGAAAGTGCAGTCCAACTTCTTCGGTGGTAATTACATGGCACTATGGTGGAAGAGAGGATTAAAGACAAATGCGTTCGACATGGCAACTGAATGAATTTTTTTTGCGATGTGTGTATCACAAATTTTTTACAGACAAAAGTGGCCATTCCATATATTTTATTCTTGAATTTTATATTATTAGTAAAAACCTCCTACTGCTTTCTGTAAGAAAAAATTTATCGCGTCTCTGTAATTCTCAATCTCTTAGCGAATAACTATTGTATTTTCGTAAATTAGAAGTTTTTGGAGATTCAAATAGAATTTGGCAAAATTTCACCTTCACATTTTGCTCTCGAAGCGTTGCGACTTTAACGGGCGATTCCACGCTTTCTTCGTCATGTTTTTACATTAGACAAACAAACATCTTATAAATGTTTTAGCACTAATTCGGATCGGACGCGATGTTTGTATGTTATCCCGTCGTGAAAAGTAATTTCAGCTTGTTACTATAATGTAAAGGCGAAGCGCGCGTCTTACATTATTCATCCGCCGTTTCTACGCGCTACGCGGCATCGGCCGATCGCTCGTAAATCGCTCGTTCCCGACCGCCCCCGATTCACTTTTCATTAAGACATCCGCGGTCGAGTGAATGAACGAATGAATGGATTTCCAGAAGCCTCGCGAGACTTCGATCTTTCCTCGACCTTGGGCCTACCACTAGACCTACCAACTTCCTGAACTTCCCTTTGGAATTTTTTCGTACCTTTTTTTTTTTTGTTTCTCATAAAAGCTATAATCAGTACAAAAACCCGCGTCACATCGAGGAAATAATTCAGAATGAATTACATTAGTGCTCGTCATATATTCATGCGTAAAGGAACCATATGCGAGAGACATGGTCTGTATGATCGCATTTCGTGAGGAAGTCCGAACAATTTCGTCTCTCTAAAATTTCGCGCATATCGT